ATATATATATATATATATATATATATATATATATATATATATATATATATATATATTATTTTTTTTTTTTTTTTTTTTTTTTTTTTTTTTCTCCAAAAGATACTCAGGTGAATGATATTAAGTGCTTTGACATATCTTGCATGTTGCAGATTGACTGTATGAAGCTTATATTGAGGAATAAGTTGTTAGTTCTATGCAAGGCAAGGTATGGCCCAGAGCAGTGGTTGTTTCAGCTTCTGTGGTAAAATTCGCACGTTCACCTCATATTGTATTATTTCAGGTTCGTGCGTCTGTCTCCTTTCTTTTATTCTTTTATATTTGTTCTTATTTACTCTTGTTTCTTTGATTAATTTTACCTTTTTTTTCTGTACGTAAATCATGATTTGATAGCTGGTATGATCGATAAAGAAATTTTTCATTAAGCTTATATTGTCTTTGTGTTTAATGATTACAGTTAATTCAGATGATGTCTCCTTTGTCTTATTTTTCTCTATTTCTGTCATTCATTTGTTTATCTACACTCCTTATATATGTGTCATTATTATCATTGTTCATTTGTTATACTGATTTTATGAATATGTTTGTTATTGGTTGGTTGCTGCAGAAAGTAATGGTGTTTACCATCAAAATCGTGGAACAGTTTTATTTGATTGTTTCTGGCCTCATTCAGTGTGTTTTGCCGCTGATTAGTCACTTTTGGATCTGAAAATCTGAGGGGTATATTGTATTTGTGCCGTGTTTATGTCAGGAATTTTCATTGAGGTACCATTGATGAGATAATTTGATTGGCATTTCTTGAGTGTTTTTTTGCAGCTAACCAGTTTTATTCTCTGTTTACAGACTAATAACAGTGTTCTAAGAAATTTGATATGCATATATGTATGTAAAATATGTTTATATGCCTTTGTTTTATTGTACATTAAGTACAGGTATTATCATCAGGCAAGCTGTGTATACCTTATAATTCCTTCAAAGTTTGCTATTTTCATCTTCAAACTCTTTCTATCATCGAAGATAGAAGAGAAAAAAAATCCACATATATCAAATAAGTGACGCATTTTTTTCCCTTTCACCTCTCCACAGCATTGCAGGTAGTATAGTGTACTCGTGGGTGACGTTTCGCAGAAAGGAACCCCCCAAGCCCGAGCTCCTGAAAGCTGCCCCGACTTCTAACGTCTAAGCCGCTGTTGCTGTTGTTTGGACGCACGGCATTCTCCACAGTGGCGAAAGATCCATTATGAAAGAGGTTTTATGTGCTCATCCGTGATTACGTCCCTGTTTTGCTGGGGCATGATGTTGCTCATGTTATGGGTTTGTCTTTTTGTTTTTTGTTTTTTTTGTTACATGTTGTGAGTATTACAACTAATTGAAAAGAAAAGAAAAAATTATTGCACTTTGATCAGTGGAGGTTTTTGATAGTGTTGTTTCTCATAAGCCTATAGTCATTGATGTACGTCTGTATTACTACTTTTTTCAGTTAAAAGATCTTTATTTTATTTTATTTATTTATTATTATTATTTTTTTCTTTCTAAGAAATTGATTTTGGAATTTTTCGTAAATAATAGCCATTTGACAAACCTGAGAACTTCAAAATAACAAGTTTTATAGAGTATTATAGACTATTCCTTCGGCCGGTGTGTGCACGTGAGGCTGAGAATCCGAGTGGGCATCTGCAGACGTCAGGGCATTATCCCTCTTTGGTACTTGCCTCCCTTATAGACTGATTTCAACTTATCGACAGAGGGAGGACTCTTAAGATTGAAAATACAATAGCACGATGTATGAAAATTAGGAATGTATGATATGTGACCTTTTACACAGACTTCAATCTTTCTTTGGTGTCTTTTTGATTGGGTGTTCTTTGCACTGAAGATCAGGGTTATGTGAAAGTCATAGTGTTATGGTGCGACAGTCAGGTTCTACCTGATTTTCGAAAACATGTACATTACTTGAAATTGAAATTGTTTCCCAGTGGTTAGATTATAGAAAATATTTGATATATGGAAAGGTAAATCTTTCTGAGATGTAGGCTTACAGTGTATTTAGTTATGAAGACAAGTATTGTTGTTGCATGGCATTGAAAAAAACAAAACAAAAATCAGAAGCTACAATAGAAGTGAGTGCATACAACTGGTGTCTCTAGTATTTTCATTATGATGCTGTCATAATTCTACTTAGCCAGAAAATTGTCATGGATTTTATTAAAAAGTAAATGTTTTGAATAGTACCAAGTATACTGCACATTGATCTAAGAAGAATTAAATGAATTCTGAAAGATAAATACAGAGAGTGAATTCTTTTATGAGCACTAATTTTCCATTGAGCAGACTGTAAATGTGTGCCAAGCTTCAAGCAGCATTAATCATCCGATGTTCAAAAATACATCTAAGAGGCAATATAACTGAATAAAACCTGCAGACATCAAAGAAATAACACGAGTGGGTATACATCTCAAGTTTTTGCTCTTCATTTTGTTAATTGAAAATCAGCTGTTCATTTATATAGTGATTCTAGTGACGGAGGAAAAAGGGAATCCAGTTTTGCAGCCATTCCATGTAACAGAAAGTACAGTGTATAATGTTTTTTGGACACATTTGTTGTGTGGTGTGATACATATGTTTTAGGTTATTTATTCATAACTTTTAAGTTACTTAATCTTCCCTTCTTTTTTTTTCCTGAAAGAGAGATATTTGTTAATTTTTGAAGACCCCCCCAAGTTTTAGTTTGAATCATGTTGAAGGAATTGAAGTGGCATTAGAGAGTGTTGGAACTCTTGGTTTATAATTGCTTGTTTTATTTATTTATTTTTTTTTAGTAAGATGATTATGGTTCCCTATTTTGTCATAAGAGCTGTCATTATGTGATAAAGGAGAAGTAAGCCATTTTGCATTTGCTGTAAAGTGTTATTTATGAGGAGAATATTTATGTTATTTTCAGATTGAGCTTATGTATATATGTATGTACCTACCTATCTTTTAAACACATAAATGCACATGGTTACACTTGCTCACTTACTCACATATATATACACACACATGGGTACAAACAGACAATCTCTATCCTCTCTCTTATCTCATTTTCCCCTCTTTCTTCACTTATCCCATTCCCCCTTTTCTTCTCTTTTGCTCTCCCTCTCCTACATTTACACCTCCTCCCATTTATCTTCCCCTCCCAATTCCCCCACTCACACCGGTGCGCACAAACATACGTACACAAGTACTAACAATACGTGTGGAAAAGTGGGATGAAGCACGGCCAAAATGAGGAAGGATTTAATGTACTAGTAGATTTGCCGTCGTAACTGTTTGGGGGAAACTTTTTTTTTTTTCTCTCTCGGTGTAAGCCGTGTACTTCCCTGGCAAGAAAGAGAAATAGAGAAATGGCCTTTCCACTTTAATTTCACTTTAACCATTTTTTTTAGTGCTGACAAGTAGTGTAGTTATGGATGTAGTTTGTTATTACTGATTCTCTTTTTTTTTTTTTTTTTGTAAGCAAAACTTATTGTTATTTTTGGTATTTATCATTTATATAATGTGTGTGTGTTTATATATGTGTATGGTTAAAATATTTATATAATATTTATATAAATATTTTTTGTATACATAAATCTTTCTTGATGTAGATTGTTATTACTGATTCTCTTTTTTTTTTTTTCTTCTTGTTAGCAAAACTTATTGTTATTTTTGTTATTTATCATTTATATAATACTGTAAAAGAAGTTCCATGATTCAAAGCGAGTAGTAAGAATGAAGAAGGTAAAAGAAAACCCATTAGCTTCACCATTTTAATCACCATTTTATATCAATTGCTCATTGTCTCATTCAATTAAGAATACCCGAATCTAACTTATGGAAAAGGGGCATTACTTGTTATTGTTTACTCAATATAATATTTTTTTTTTTTTTTTTTTTTTTTTTTTTTTTTTTTTTTTACATAAAAATAAGCATTCTTCATGTCATTTTTCGTAGCATCTCAGGGCTTGTCATGTCACCGATTCCAGACGAGGGAGAGGAAAAGCTTTTTTTTATATTTTTCCATGTAGGTTCACGCATTGCAGATGTGAAATGATTCCGATATTTAATCATTCATTCATATGACTTCATAGACATTACCCTTTGAGTGCCACATATACTAGTACAGAGAATTATTAGTTGCAGTAGTTCGCGTCTGCATACCTCCCTTTTTATGTAGTATTAGCCAAAGTATTAGATGTGTTTAGGGTTTTTTTTTTTATTATTGAGTTGCTCATGATCTGATGTTGATATTTTTACCTTATTATTTGGAAGGAAATGTTTCCATAAAGTTTTAAATGGGGATGCAGCAAGCTATATGTTTTCATTGCTTAGGTAAAGGTTGGATATTGTTCTTAGAAATGTTTATTGGTTCACCCCTTGCATAATAGGTATGCTAAGCTGCTAATTTTACTATGACAAATGTGAGGGTTGATATTATTCATCTTTTCTATCTTCTTCTTCTTGATCTCCATCTTCTTCTTTTCCTTCTTCTTCTTCTACCTTTTTTAGCCTGTGAGCTCAGGTCAAATAAGCAATGAATATATACTGAACCAAGGAACAGATAAACCAAGTAATGACTCCTCAAAGACATGTTGCCCAGGTTTGAGTAAATGCCATTGCAATTTTTGCCACCCCCTCCTCGTATTTCCACCCCCTCCTCGTATTTCCTCATCTCCAAGGTCCATAGCTGCTGTATTTACCCATCGAAACAGTCAGCGCATTGTCCTTCTAGCAAATGTGCTCGGTGCAGTAGAAACCATTCATTGACTTGAGAAATATCTTTTTTTTTTTTCTTCTTCTTTTTTTTTTCTCTCTCCAACTTTTACCAGACCAGAACCCCTCCCCCCCCTCCTCTCCCCCAGAATTGCATTGTGTATGGCAATATTTTGAGACGCAAGAGGGGAGCAGTCTGATCAGTGTCTTAGGGGAGCACCTTCTCTTGAATCATCTTGCTGGCCGTGTCGCCAATATGCCATATTTATTCC